GGGAAAAGGGCGGCATACAAATAAATGAAAATGAAATGAAATGAAATGACTATCTGACCAAATTTGGGTTTTATCAATCCGCAGAGCCTCCAATGGCAACAATAGCTTAGATTTTTTTCAGGACCTCTTATCTGCTAACTTGTGAGTCATCTGGATGTTTGCACTTCGATGTGGTAGCCATAGGTGGTGAAAGGGCAAGGAGGTAACAGATCTGATCTCCATGTGGCCTAGGAGACAATTTTCTCAAGTGTTGCATTTTTCTTCTTCTGTGGTTGCACGTTTGATCTTGTTGTGGCCTGTTGGTCGCCAACCCCTCCAGCAGCTGAATCATATGAGGAGGTGGCATGGGAGTCAAGGTCAACATCAAGGCAACCTGAGAGCTCCGAGGGGGAAGAGGGAATGCAGCTGGCAGAGAGAGAGAGAGAGACAGAGGCAGAGCCTGGGCCCTCCATCAGCCCTCACATGGAGAGTCAACAGCCCCAAGGTCTGGAGGTGGCTGATGAGGAAGAGGGGGAACAGCTGGGTCCAGTGCCTGACGTGCAGATGTGCAGAAGAAAGAGGAGAGGAGAGCAGTGGAAATCTATGGGCTGATCCTTGGGACGGAAGAGCCACCGCTGCTAACAAAGCCCCACCCTAACTCTGGGGATAAAAGGCAGGGGGCGGAGATGAATCGGTGTGGCAGACAACTATTCTTCTCCCTGCCAGACAGACTTGTTAGCCTACTATGAGAGAGAGAGAGACTTTTTGTAAGGAGCTGTTGGTGCTCCTAATAAAGGAATCATTGATTTAACTAGGGCTTGTTGTGTTTGGGAGCTGGGTCAGAACAGATCTCTAAAACTTAATCTTGATAGGAATGAGAGCTTTTCCTTCATCTGTCACTGGTTTTCTCCTGTTGGAAACCTCATAACATCCTCTGTAGCCCAACGTCTGTAATCAATGAAGTCCAGGGGTGAAATTCAGCAGGTTCTGACAGGTTCCGGAGAACCGGTACTGGAAATTTTGAGTAGTTCGGAGAACCGGCAAATACCACCTCTGGCTGGCCGCAGAGTGGGGGTGGGAATAGAGATTTTGCAGGATCCTTCCCCTGCCACGCCCACCAAGCCACGCCCATAAAACCGGTAGTAAAAAAAAAAAAAGAATTTCACCACTGATGAAGACGCTTCTTTTGGGGGGCTCCTCTCAAATGTTGGCTTTTAAAAATGACTTCATTTCTGTTTCCACAGGATGTCAAAGCCTCGGCTACTATTCCTCTTTTGGGCTACGCAGTAGATGACACTCCAAGAAGCGCTGACCTCCCGCATAGTTTCAAATTGACTCAGTCTAAATCTGTGCACAGTTTTGCAGCAGATAACGAAGAGCTTAAACAGAAGTGGTTGAAAATCATCTATTTAGCTGTTAAAGGTGAAACACCAGACTGCTCTAACGATTCACAAATCAGTTTGGAGGATCAGCAGGAAAGCACTGCCAAACTGGAATCCACCAATGGTCTGTAAAGCTGTTATTTGTCCCATTCCTGTTGGGGTTGACACTACTTCCTAAAAACAAATTTGAAAAGACGCCAGCCTTTCTGCCATGTTTCTTAGCACTTTATGTTGGAAAAGAACAAAAGAGTCCATATCGTTTTAGAGAAATTGTCCTTAACGTTTATGTTATGTCAATAAAATTAATGTACAGAAGCATTCCATATTTTATTTTTATTCAATTAATGTCTTAGCCAAAAAGTCATCAATATTAACCCAATGCTGTTATTTCCAAGATAGTTATCGTACAACATAATACTATTGGGGATGGTACAGCTTTTTTCATAATGAAGTTGTTCTCTTGGTAATTTTCTATGAATCATACATGTGTGTTTTTAGATATACCTCCACATTGCCAAATAGATGTGTAGTGAAATTTAAAGTTAGATTAGCTTACTGCATCTAAATCCTCGCACTATTTACACTGATGTGTATATAAAAACTATAATTTTTTTGTTTGTGAACCAAACAATATCCAGAGTATCTAAACATTTCAAATGTTGTATTTAAAAACTAAATCTTTCCTGTTAAATTTTTTTTTATTGAACAATAAGAACATTATATACTGTTTGCAGGGTATGTTTTTACAGGAAAATGTACTATACTCGATTTTGATTTATCTTCATGATACTAAATCAGTGCTTGCCTATGATTTTTAAAAATGAAGCATGCATCCTGTAGAGTTTAAGCAAAGGATTCTGAATTTAAGAGACAATTGGTGGCTTGTTTATATAGAATAATATTGGTATTTTTATACATTAATACAGAACTGGAAAGAGTAGTAAAGGCATGTACTGGATGTATAGATTCTAGCTGTGGTTTGAAAAGCATAACTTCTCAGTTCTGTTACCTTTGGAAAATGGTGCTACATTTCTAAAATTATAAGTGCTTTAGTAATTATCAGCTTAATCTTAAACAATGTCTTGTGATATCTCTTTTCCCTTTATATTAGGATTTAATACAGAGATCTGAATATTATGAATCAGTTCAGACTTTGCACCAAATCATGATTAAAGAAAATTACAATGCACGTTGAGTTCATACATTACACTAAGCCATAAAGTAGTTTGTTTGCCTTGTGTGATTTGTAAAGCCAACTGTAAACCATGATTTATGGCTTAAGATGATGCGGGAACAAGGTGTACTCAATAAACTATGGTTAAAACTAACCATATCTTAAGAGTTACAGTTGAATCATGCTTTGTGCAAAGAAAGTCTGGCTTGACATTTTAAATTAACAAATCATAATTAAATCCATTAATCTTCATTGAAAGACTAGTGTATTGAAGAAATGCTGAAGAGACTAACTACGTCTTTATGTATTTTGAGGTTACATCAGTTCTAGCATAATTACAGCAGGTTATGTGATGATGATATTTGAACTGACCACTTATAACTCCTCATCAAGCCATACATATCTTGCTGCAGTTAATGTGACTTTTATGTGTCCCAAAACCATAAAAATGGGAAGCAGATTGATTAATACGCACCATATTTACCATGCATGGTCAAACATTTTATAGAATAACAGAACATGATTTTAAAGTTGTGCGAAGAGTAATGGTTCTGCAAAGCTGGGAAATATGTGTTTATATCTTGCTTTAAAAACTTTCTTGAAGAAGTACTATCTTTATGCTGGAATTTCCCATTTCTTCTTGGCACTTTTCTGCAAGTGTGCTTTTTTTCAGATCAATCAAATGTAGAGCCACTGATCCACAAGAATTGATTGATCCAGCTTGATACCCAAGCCTGACATTTTGGACCGAAAGAGAGTGACTGGCCCAAAGTCACCCAGCCAACTTCTCATGGCTAAGGCGGGACTAGAACAGTTCTCTGGTTTCTAGCCTTGCATTTTAACCAGTAGACCAAACTGGCTCTCACATCTTATGCTGTATCTTATACTTTTTGCTTGGAAGTTAGCTTTATTTAATTCAGTTGGAATTACTTTCTAAGTAAAGATGCATAGAATTGTACTGCCGATTTAAGCTTTGCAATAGTGAAGTAATAATTAAGCTAATATATAATAATGGTATTATTATATGTTATTAGTTATTGAGAACATTTATCTTTCATTGCTAGAGTGGTATGCATGCAACAAACATAAGCCAGTACTGTGGGCAGTTAAAACTACAGGTCAAACAGCCACTGTCTTAACTGGAAAAAGATATAATTAGTTGAAATTTTCCACATTTTTAAATAATCAGTAATTTTAGATGGGAAAATTATGATCAAAAGTTTAATATGATGTGTTCAAGGTTTCTACATTTCATTTCATTGTACAATCCCTTTTGCTAAGCATTAAGTGTGTAAAATGCCACAACAGATGAGCACGGACAGCCATCCAGCATCTCTCTTGCATCTTTTCCAGATAACAACCAGCCAGAATTTGAAATCTGGTGGCCCAGATGCTGATTGATAGCAATGCTGTTTCTTTCTCCAACATACATTTTTTTGTGGGGGGGGGGGAATGAATGCAAACTTTAAACTATTCTTTTTATTCTTTAACTAAAGTCTAACACAATTTCTGTTGTCAAGAAAATTTTAGATGATCATGTCTGTAAATTGCCATTTTTTTATTTTCTTGAGGCTAATTTATAGCTTCTATTTATTCCTTGGGTTCCCCACCCCCCATCCAAGTACTCTTAGTTTCTAAGGTCAGACAAGATTGGCCAAATGCTTAATCCCTCTCCCGAAAAGTAGTCCAAAAATTGGCCCTTAGGGTCACCCTTGTAGATAGGATTTACTCTAATACAACACGTGCTTGCTCTAATACAGAGGTGTCAAACTCGATTTCATTGAGGGCTGTATCAGGGCTGTGTTTGACCTCGGGAGCTGGGGTGGGCATGGCCAGCTCAACATCATTCCTGTCAGAGGTGCCTGTTGTGGCCCAAGCGCTCTGTCACCGAAAACAGGCTCCCAAGCTCCGTTTTCCGCTGCCATGGCCTCCTGCAACCTTCTGCCAGTGAAAATGGCGCTCGGGAGGGCCATATGTGCTGGCAGAAGCACCACTGGTCAGCACCACAGGCTGGCCTATTGTTTCCAGGGCAGTCCTGCAGGCCATCAAAGTATCCCATGAGCCGTATCCGGCCCCCGGGCCTTGAGTTTGACACCCCTGCTCTAATAAATAAAAACAGGGTTTGCTTTAATGTAGATTAAAGTTAGATTTAAATGTAGAATTAAACACATATCCCCACTGCCAGGGCCCATCTTTCTGAGTTTGGTATGAAATTAATTCACAGTTGTTTTGCTTTTTTAGATGGGAAAAATATAGGCATACAAAAAATCTATCCTGATTTATACTATTGTATAATTTCCTGATCTTTGGTTTTACCATATGCCCAACACCAGAGCTGAGAGATTTTGCAGATCTGAGACAATCACTTATAACTTAGTTTTTAGAAAAGCTAATGGTTTATATTCAGTTTCTCGTGTGCATAGTTTTGAAATGTTGCTTGAAAATATAATCAAACCTTAAGCATATGGCAGAAAGAAAATTGAATCTGCTTTTCAACTCTTACAACTTCTGAGCCTTTGGGGGTATCCAAAGTCTTAAGTGCATGGTGACATTCCTGTTGCCTCTGAATGGAATTGTCCACCACTCTTTAATTCAAATGTCCTTTTCAGAACTTCATGTCCTCTAAAGAATGTTCATCGATGTTATATTCCTTATTAAGATGCAAATTTTGTTTCCCAACAAATAATATATTGACCCAATGTCTATGGAGATTTTCAATCATCCAGGTCATGGTTATCCCAAAAGTGTTTTTCCAAAGATAACTTGATTTTTTCGGTCTTCCTTTGAAAATGACTTGCTTCTCATCCAAGAAGCTTCTTCAGTTCTGAAGAATGGATGAGAAATGAAACGTCTTCAAAGAAAGATCAAGGAAGTCCAGTTGCTTTTTGCAAAGCAGTTTTGAGACATGCTATCCCAATATTCTTTTATTCTACAAAAGAAAGGGTTGGGTTTTTTTTTTTACATGACTTCCATATACACTTATTTGACAATGGGGTTTATATGGAGCAAAATGCTCACGAACATATACGAGTATTCTGTGTTGTAAAATAAATGATAGGCTACCCTTTGCGACCCAACTATGTACATCCTTTGAAATATTTTCTTGATAGAAAACATGCAAAATACAAAGCAATTCTAACATGAGTTAAGTGCAAATGTTCAAAAGCTCCCAAACACGAAGTTAGTGGCTCTCAGCATTTGAACTCAATCTATGATTTGCATGTAGCAACTTCATTCTATATGTCCTTGTCTCAGAAAATCAATCTGGAGGGTGAACCTTGGGCTTCTAATTATCGTTCAGGAAATAGTGTAGCCTGTTTCCTGGGAATCATATTTGAAAGCAGGCTTTCTTATATTAAGATAAATAATCTCTTAGAATTCACATCGATCTCAGTTATAAAGCAAACTACCTCATATGGGCTCCATTTGAACCCTTGAGGAGTGGATAAGGGAGGGATTTCCTTTAACCTCTCCCTCATAGATTAATAATAAAAAGCACATGATTAGCACTTAGAAGAGAGTAAAGGCTGTGTAGGCTTCAAAAATGATGTAGAAGAAGTGCTTCGGAAGTCGGGTGGGACAGTGGTGTGCTACCACTCCTAAAAAATACCACAACTTTTTTCAAGCTTCTCGTGAGCGTGAAAAAGATGTGCTGCTCCTTTAAGAGTCTCCTTAGCCTTAACTGTTGGCTGGGGAATTCTGGGAGTTGAAGTCCACACATCTTCAACAGTGGTGAGATTAAAAAAAAATTACTATTGTTTCCGTGGGCGTGGCTTGTTGGGCGTGGCAGGGGAAGGATACTGTAAAATCTCCATTCCCACCCTACTCCAGGGAAAGGTTACTGCAAAATCCCCATTTCCTCCTGATCAGCTGGGACTCAGGGAGCAGAGAATAGATGGGGGCAGGGCCAGTCAAAGGTGATATTTACCAATTCTCCAAACNAGGTTTTTAATCAATTCTATTTTAACCCCTGTTATTGCCTCCAGCCAATTTTTGATCCTTTTCCAAAAGAATTTTGCCTCCTCACAGGTCCACCATAAATGATAATATGTTCCGTGTATTGATTCGCATTTCCAGCATTTTGGGGAGGTATTTGTTGAAATTTTAGCTAACCTTGATGGTGCCAGGTGCCATCTGTAAA